TCCCATAGTGTTTATCTGTCAAATGTACCGCATTAAAAACGCCAGTTTCTTAAAGGAAACATGAAACGAGAGCCGTCCTGCTCTCCAATGGGGGATTCAGCGTGTGAGTTGAGAACAATCTCTTCAACTTATCGCAAAAATGCATCAAATCATTTTATTCATTTTCAAATGTCGAACCCTACAACTAGGGTTTGAACTCGAACCCTAGGTTAGGGTTCGAAACCTAGTCGAACTCTATACCAAAACAACTTCAATTTCTGTGATGTTTGTTGAGTTCCCGCTTTGTTTCAAGGCTGGTTCCCACAAAGACAGTGAAGTTCTTCCCTTGGGATGAATCCACTCCGACCAGGAGTGAGGAAGTTCTAGTTTCCCTTTGAGCATCACGTTGCAGTGAAAATCAGCAAGTGTTCCTCCAACCCTCACTCTGGGAGGTTGACGACTTCGTTCGGACCAGAAATCTTTCCATAATTCCAAACGAATGTCTAACCGTAAGGCGCGTGCCGAGCGGTAAATTTGTCTAACTTCTGAAGAGCTACGTGAAGAGCAAAGGCGATCATTTTGAAAACTACTAAGATCAGTATGTTTGTGATAAATATTATCCTCAGAGAAAAATGATTTCTGAAATGTGACAAAGAAGTTTCATCGAAATCGGCGAGCACCATTTGAATGATCCTAGTTATCACGAGGGTGCATTGAGAAGTAGAACACTTTGAGGGTGTTGAATGGCGAGCGGTAGCAGGTTCGGCTGTGGGGATGCATGTGCTGTGTGCTTTGGCAAATGATTTGTCGGGTTGGGTTTATGCATAAATTGGCTAGGGATACCGTATGGTGCTTGAGAAAGTGTGCTTTCTTCCAAACTGGTTGTCTAATGAGTTAATCAAACGAAGAAGCCACGCTTAATAAAAAATAAATAAAAATAGAATGGTCTAAGAAATTTCACGTTGATTATCTAATTCCACTACTCAGAACTTACTTTTATCGCTTTGCTACTTCCCAGTTCCGAGTTCGGTCCGGTAAGAGCACTTTCCCTTCGTGGGACAATCGCCGATTGGCGCGAGTGGATGGACTAAAAGAGAGATGTCATGAGCAGGTACACAGTTGCTGCCCAGTTTTATCACACGCATCTACGAAAACACACGAGCACAACTATAAGACAAGGACAGGGCTCAGTTCATTCATTCATGTCATGACTTTTAGGGAGTACATGCATATGTACTCTCTAAAATTTCTATCACGCCTGTTTTAATTTTCACATTTTTTCTACGGCTTACTGTCATTCTCAAGGCGTTCTGCTGGGTGGCCTGTAAAAGCAACGTCCATGTTCTGTAATATCACGACAGATTCACATCTACAGAAAAATGTGTTATCGTCCGAATTTAAGAGAAATCATAGAGTTCCAGGAGTTTACGCACGTCAGAACAAAGTTCACTAGTAAGCAGGTCATCGCGCGATTTTTTCAAAAATACCGCAGATACGACCGAAAAGTGGGAAGAACTTACGCGTCGTAGAGCTTGTTGTTCACCTTCCCAATGATCGAGCAGCAGTTTGCGTTTGTCTACTTTCGTTTTAACTTCTCTGAAAACAGCATTCGTAATCCATTGATAATCTTATCGGTCACTACACTTATTCAGATCACACAAAGCCTCTTTTCCAAATAATTGTCTGCCCAGTAAACTAGCAATAGCTTTCTCGGGTAAGATAACCGGTAACCATCCACAAATGTTGATTCTTTTGATGACACAAAAAAATTGAGTGAGCTGCAGGCTTCTAACTTGAACACTTGACGACCACGACATCTCATTGGTTGGCGTGTTGGTACGTTCCTTATCCCAGACACAGATAGGGCGTGGGTATTATTTCGGTCGAATTTAGGGCGGCCACCCTTTTGGTGGGATATTCTTTCAGCGAGACAAGTGACATCATGTGTTCGTCTACCATGGGGCAGGAAACAGTTGTATCAGATGGAAATATCTCACGACAAACACATCCTACGATATGTTCGGTTGAAGTGTGCAGCCACGCTCTCCCTCTTCCTATCTCCAGATTAGAGTGTATCTGTCATCGCTTGGCGTCGAACCCCTTAGATGAGGTGGGCGTGGCTGCATGAGCTGAACGTGGGGCAGCTGAATTTTTCTTTAGATATTTTCATTTCGGGACAGTTGTAAGAATGTCTTAGAATGTCTTTGTCCAACACAGAAGAAGGTGATAGTTGTCTCAAATGGGAATATCCCACGAGTAAATCATCCTAGGCCATGTTCAAATGCCACGCCTACTCCGTCTCAGGGATAGGGATTATACAGGGGGAGCCACAAAAAAACTTTTTTCTTCCTTGACTTTCGAGGCGCTATAAGTTACACTTTATTAAATTCTTATCGGACATTTCTACCACCATATTAAAGAGCATATTAAATACTATCATGATACTCCGCCACAGCCTTCTGGAGGAGCGCCATCGAGAGATTCTGCCACGCGACCGTCAGTGGGTGCGTGAGTTCAGCGAGATCGTTTCTCCGCCACTGTAGACCACCCTATTGAACTCCGCCCGAACCAGGTAATTGAGGGGTTTAGGTCAGGTTACCTGCTTAGATATTCCACCTTCTTCAGGTACTCAACGCCCTTCCATTCCAAGTAGGCGAGAGTTTTTCCAACGCCCTTCATTTTCATGTGGTGTCACCCAATCCTGTAGCAGTACAAAGTTTCCAAGAAGGTACGGGCGACGACATGTGGAGAGGATATTCTTCTCGAGTTGCTCGATGTAACCGCCAGCGCTCACCTTTAGTCCGGGGCCCACGAAGAAAATATCGGTCTCTCCATTCCAGGTACGTCCGGTCCCCACCATCAACTGGCGCCTTGGCGACTGAGGTGAAGATGATGTCCTAGACCGTAGCGACGTTGTCGGAGCTGCTCGATGTTGGAGGTCTTCCAGATTCGCAGCTGTTTGGAGGTGACATGAATTCCAAAGGTCTTCTCCAGTCAGGCTGCGACTGGAGATGACTTCATATTTTGGTGTACATGAAGGTGATGGGCGAGAGCCAGCTCCTGCTTATAGAGGAACATCTTGGGTATCTTCCGCCCTGGTACTCGTATCCACGTCCTCTGTCTGGGCTGCGAAAACTTTGCTGATATGTGACTCGGTCGAAATGTCTTTTTTGCCCCCCCCCCTGTATACATAGTCGATAACGTCGCAACTGATCGCGGCTGTGTGAGAGCGGAAAAAGTCCGCTCCCGGCAGTCTTGCTCTACCAATAGCGATCACTTGGTGATAGATCTACAAAAAAAGCAAGTGGTGGTAGTGCCGCGGGATATGTCGTCAATTCCCTTCTGGAACCGACCGGACTGCTTGCGACGTTATCAGCTGTATTTTGAAGGCCTCGTACTCCGACTCCGATACCTCGCCAGTGATGGCTGTCTTTCTGGCCTATCGCCCCTTAATGTGTCCCTTGAAACGTCAAAATTAACAACTCTCACGGGGAGGACTTTACCTAGTTCATTTTGGACGATCTCTTCTGGTTCTTTTCACTCACAATTGAGCTATTGTTAGCATTTGAAACTTCACACTTGATAACGGTTGCGTACGAATTGCAGTCGCCGTATGCTTTCGGCATCTCCACGATGTGAAATGACGAAAACTGGGGTGCATAATCGAGGAACAGCTATGCCATCCCCCAGTAACGGATGAACAGCATTACAATCACTGATCATGAGCATGACTACTTCGATTTCTCCTTTCTTAACGGGCTTTTGTGGACGAACCACCAATCAGATGAGCGGTATGATGTCTAACAGCAGCATGCTGAAGGGAAGTGATACCCGGATGCTGACCCATGGATCCGCCCGCGCTGCCGCACAGCTGGCTAACCATGGCCAGACGCGCTACTTGTCTGCGTCCTCTCTCATCTAGTTGTTCTCTTTTGACTGTTTGTTCGCTGCAAGATTTTGACATCAATGCAAGCGATTAGCCCTGAACGCTACCGGAGTTGTGATACGGCACACGGATATCACTGCCCTCGAGCCCCATGCCCATGTAGTGCAAACGAAGAAAGTGACACCTACCGCAGTTGGTGACCAATCACCTCGCACATGTCAAGCACCACCTCGCAGCTGAGTGTACGTTTCGCTTTTGACAAAATAAGTACACGAAACGTCCTCGTTGTTGCTATTCTCGTGTGCCAATAATAAATTTCGGCGCAGTTTGCCGACGGAGGGGCATTTTGCACTTTCGTTGCTTCACTAGTTCTGGTTTACAAGTCTCACTCTGGTGAAACCTGTGAACTCTTGTGAAGCTGGAGCAAGCTCGTCAAGCCATCATGGTAAAACCTGTCAACTCGAGAAGAGGCTGTCTAGATGGGTCGACACGTCGATGGGAAGTCGTTAAAGTGCAAAATGCCCCCCGTCGCCAAACAGCGCCCTCCATTTCTGTTTATCTTATGACAAGTAATTTTTGTATTTTGTTAGAATCCGCAATGCTCAATCCAGGAAGGGTATAAGTCGTCTTCACCCCAGTCCATTTCAATAAAGTACGAAATACAAGAGAAAAGAATGAGAGTGACGCACCGGCGATGTCCATAAAGGGAAGCGAGTGCCATGGTCAACCGATGGCACTGTCGACTCACTCGTAGAAAACAACGTGGCGTACAAACCGCTTCGTGGGAGCAAGCCATATCAAAAGAATTCGACATTTGAATGACCACCTGAACAGCCACTGAATGAAACAGTTTTCTGATGGTGTGCTTTATTAAAGTCAGAAGTTTAAGTTCAAGGGTAAAGCCTACACAGGTGCAGATAGGTGCGCCTTGCTTTCGGCGTTTCTCCGCAAATCACGGATTAGTGGACTTGAAGTCTAGAGCTCTTCTTAGAAGCGCACTGCACTATCCTCATTAGGGGGTGAAAATCTCCCCTTATCTACAGTCCTCATCATTGCGGACCGGTGGGGCGTGTCAGCCAGTATGAGTGTGCACACTGTTGAAGCCGTTTTTTTGAAACGCGTATGCGACAAAAAGTGGTAGAAAACGAGTAATACGAAGGATATAATACAGTAATGTCACTTGCCCGCTTCAACAACTGGTGCAGAACGACTTTGGCACCGCGCCAAACGCAGCCGCACTGACACGCCCCACCGGTCCGCAATGATGAGGACTGTAACTTTGTCGCAAGTGTTATCGAAAATTTGTTGGAATTGCAATCAAAATGCGATTTGAGGAACACCAAAAACATCCTCTTTCCTATCATTTTCGAAAATTGTAATATATTCCCGGATTTGGATCAGAACTGGAAGAAAATAAAAATTTTTGGACAATTCAGAGCGCAGCCACAAAATCGCTCTAAACCCTTGAGATAAGCGCTGTCCATATCTGAGAGCAGTAAGGGGCGTCGCGGCAATTGCGGCGAGGGGTAGCAACTACTTCGCAGATATCACGATATGAAGTGTTGAAATGTGAAGTACTTAACAAGATTTGTAAAATCCTTACCTTGACCCATGGCAAATTGGACAGCATTTGCTGCTCCTCGTCATCAAACTGTGACTTTGGAGCCGGCTGTGATGTACCGTAACTACTTCCCTGCTGTGAGCTGCCATGGCTTTGCACCTGCATAAAAAATACAGATGAATTGTATTCTAATTGTCTTCAAGACTTCATAGCGAACGACGACGTCGAGTGCCATTTTTCAAAAGGAGTTCACCAGAACAGTTCGAAATTTGTTGTCGAAATTCACTTACACCATGATTTACCGGTTGTTCTTTCCTGATCCCATCGGAAAGGAACACATTTTGGTCTAAATAAACGGGGTTCAATGGAGCAGCGCATCTTCCATGCACAGCCCGTTACCAGTCCTATGAGTAGGACCACTTCCGCAAATGGAAGGTGCTGATAGAACACTTTCATTTGCGAAGTGGTCCTACTCATAGGACCACTATGAGTAGGACCACTTCGCAAATGAAAACTTTCATTGATGGAGTTTATTCCAGTCGGTTCGACTTGTCTTCCCCATCCCTGCACAAATGTACAAGCTCTCAGCGCAGTTCCGCTTGGTAGGGCATTTTCTCGGTTCTCGACGATCGTTGCCGATGTCTCCTTGAGAAACCTGTTAACCTTTACCAAGCCATGTAGTGGCACGAGCTTGATTCAAAGGCACAGAGAATGATAGGTATGAGAGACTAGTCATTGCGAACGCCGTTGGTTGGGGTGCGAAAAAGCGTTTGGCCACACTCCACTCAGCCCTTCCACCAATGACATTGGCAGTAACCGCCCGCCCCCAGCCATCGTGCCAACTGCCTTTGAACTTGAAAAGTGTTTAAACGTCTCAGTGAGGGGGAATGTTCCAATCAGCAGTATTCGGGAGAAAACCAGCGGACAATGCCCCCTCCCCAATAGCCTGAGCCAGGTGGCACCTGAGCTCTTATATCTGAACGCTGAGCTCTTATATCTGAAACGCTTAAGTTTCAGTTAGCTGCCAAAGTGTGCAAAAGGAGGAGTATGGTGCCACCAATGGCTTTCTTGCCTAGAATCGGACTAAGAAGGGAGAAGCTGTGGACCACATAAGTGGAGCGACCTGATAAAAGGAGAAGAAGTGGAGGCGAGGGCCGAATCAATAGAGTTGGAAAACCAATGAAAAAGGGCAAAAAATAGTATAAGAGAGAGAATAAAGAGAATTAAAAATTAGAGTGAGCCGGTTACCCCCTCAATGGACACGTTGAGTGATTGAGTAGGTTAACGAAAATTCCTTGCGATTTGCTGAAAAATTTGAGAGGGCGAGTCTAATTATTTGTAGTTTATTTTCGGTATACCGGCAAGAATGCCGAGCCATGCGGCTTAATAAAGCTTTTCTATCTTGCGAAGTGAAAACAGTAAAAATAATCCAATACAAAAATAAGAATGTGAAACGTTCATTGTGAAGGAACTGCACATACCGGATTTGAAAACTCTGTAGGGGATTGTGCCGCCGGCTCCTCAGACGGCTTCAGCGAGTCCCGAGCGCTGGTTGAGGGTAGAACTGCAATGAGCACGATTTTCTGTTAATCTTACAATGAGTGGAACCGTAGCTGTAGGAGGTGAATGGAAAATCTTTGCATGCAGAGAAGTAGAGGGAACACTATACATCAGCGCGGGGCTAGCACAACGGATGTCGCATGGTAATGAGGTGGATTGAACAGATTCCAAGAGTCGGAGAGTACACTGTGATAGCTGATTGGGTAGACAAGATGGCTTCAAGCACATGCTGCTGGGAGACCACTTAGCAAGCTAAGGGAATTTGGTAGCGCCTCGAGGATCAGGAGTGTGCGGGAGCTACTTTCTACGACGTCTGCTAGGAAAGAATCATTGGCACTATTTACCCTTTACTGCCCCAGTCATCCGAAATCAGGCCAGTTCCTGACCGACTTTTTTCTCCGTGGGCAGAATTTGCTCAAATGTTTGTCTCGTTCCTCGAGGTAAGTTCTATAACACTCCAGACTACGAATATTACATCTCGCAATCAGCCGAAACTTCCTGGGCCGGCCGGGAGGCCCAGCGCCACAGGCGCCAATGATTTGGGGTATTTTGGCGCAGGGGCCCGTGGTGCGGGCGCTAAGAGGTTTCGGGTTGAGCGGATGTGATATTTGTGGTCAGGGGTCGAAACTTACCCCTGGTGGGCAAAATTTCCCAAGCGAATTTGGGGATTTTCGCGTATTTTGGTTCCGGCCGCGTGGCACTGGGGCGCCACGTAGATTTCGAGTCCAAGCGGGTAATGCGATATTCGTGTTCAGCAAGGTCGAGACTACATATGGCGCCCGAAGTTTTCAAAGCAAATGCGCCCACGAGAAAAAGTCTGGTCAAGGAACTGGCCTGATTTCCTATGGCTTGGTGGCAGTAAGAGGGTAAATAGTGCCACACACACGGAATCATTTCTTCACTCTCAAACGAGAAGAGTTTCTAGCCGAGAGGTCAGCTGACCACAGCAAACGCCAGTGCTTGCGCGCCGCATACTCGCTCAGGGAAGGAAAGAGATATGCATGTATGCCATCACCTTCGTGAATAAGAGCACCGGCCAACTGTCTGGCACGTGCACTGAATTGGCAGCACGTAATGGTTATAAGCGTTCCATTATGGAACTGCGAGGATAGCTGCTACGCTGCACTGCCGATGCAGACGGATTTTCTAAGAACGAGAACGGAATGGTCGCTGTAGAAAAAGGTGGGGAAAGCGTCACCTCAGATCCGTTCTTCATGTCGTTCTGGTGATGACGGCAACTTCGACTGCTTACGAGTTCTGAAAAGAATATGCCATAAGACGATAGGAGAACTGGGAAAAGTGAGCAATGCTGTGGCATGAGCGACCTCAGCGAAGAAGCAGTTTGAAAAACGAAAATTTAAAAAGTTTCCATGTTGCGATGTGGTATAAAAGGGCCATCGCTGATTCCGAAGGAGAGAAGCAATGTGCGGGAAAGGTAGCTGAGTAGTGGCACCCAGTCTGAGGCCCTGTATAGTGCTCTTCTTATTCTTCTTTTCAGAGCATCCCCCTATCAGGGCACGCCCTGGCGCTCGGAAAAATTTTTGCAAAATACGAACGATATCCTCGAGGTTCTGTCTCCGGTACGACCTCCACTTCCTCAGACTACCTAACATCTTCCTAAATTCTGCTAATTTTCTCTTACTTTCCAGGGTTGCCCCATAACTCCTTTACTTTCCCTCCCAAAAACTGGAAAGGCAGGGACAGATAGATTGTTTGGGGACGGATTAATCGAGAACCGTAGCGAACTCTCCCCATTTTTAGGGGTTGGCTACGGACGCCGCCCCCCGCTGGCCCTCCTTACTTGTCGAGGGAAAGGGGATGACGAACCCCCTTCTACCATTTGCTTGGATTTTTCACCAACCTCAGCTTTCTTTCCGACTGTTTTCCGAAAATCTGATGAGAATTCTACTAATTTCCCTCCTACTTTACTTTGCCCACTTTTCCCTCGCGGGAGGGGGGGGGGTATAGTGCACATGAAAAAGGAAAAATCATGAAAAGTCAGCAACTCCTCTCCTCGATTTTAGTCGAGTCTGTACGACCCCCACCCCTTTTTTTGGGGGAGGGGGTGGTACGGGTGCGCTCCCCCCCCCTCAGGCTAATAGTAAACGCATGAAACAGGGAAAGTCACCAGAAGTTCTACAATGTCAAATCATTAATATCGGAACCGCGCCGCGCCCCTTTTTTTCAGCCGGTCCGTGAAACGAGAAAATATCAAGCTATCATAAACAATTCTCCCCGCCCAACCGACCCCCCCCTCTCCTGGCGGCAAATTCGACCCGGGAATGCCACAACAAGACTGGGATTTGCCGGCTGATGGGAAGGAATTTCATGTAGATAGCACATGTGAAACGGGAAAAGGCGCGAAAAGTCAGCAACCAAAGAGGCAACTGCGTCCTTCCCCCTCTCTCCAGCGACAAATGCAGCCCCGCCCCTCGCTAAGGAGACGTGAACCTCGTACAACGTGCCGTGTCCCCTTCACCACCGTTATTTTCCGCTTCCCGTTATTTTTCAGTTTCTCCCAGGGGTTTGCAGGATTTCCATGTATAACTCCCATCAGATGACAGGATAATAACATGCACACTTCACCATCGCCCATCCCTTTACCATAGCAATCACAAAATCTGATATCTGGTGGAACATGTCGGTTTCTGAGATTGACTGTCATTTTTTCAAATTAGCCTGAGACTAGCGAAAACCACAAAACGGAGCAATGGGGCGGGGAAGTGAGGGAACACTAGTAAGAACGGTCGTGAAATAAAGTTCGCTCATGTTAGTGTTCCTCCTTGACACTTGGGATTTCGTGCTTTTTACTAATTTGTGAGCTACAGATTTTGAAATCTGAAGAAGGGTCAATAATTTCAAAATTCGTCGGAGAATAGGCTTTGAAAAATTATGTTGAATCAGAGGGTCACCAAACCCTGGGGTAATTGAGGTAGGCAGAGATTTTAAGTCAAGTCACCACATACTAGGACCAGTTCAACACTATTCAAAGACATCTGAGCCATAGAGCAGACGGTAAAGAGGTGGCTTCGACGATGTGACGGCTCTACGGAAGGCGTGAGGTGTGAGTTCAAGTCTTCTTGAGGTTGATTTTTCCCACAACTCAGCATTCTTGTGACAACTTTCGGAGCATAGACTGCGGCGTTACACAGCAGTTATCATAAGTTGCCACAAAATGGCTGGTTGATGAGCAAAAATCTTGAGCCGTCGGCGCGACCTGAGCACCTCCCCCACACGGGTTCGAGTCCAACCTGATTTCAAAGCGTGTGACCATAATTGAGCACATTTGTGGTGAATTTCGAGCGCGAACAGCGGCGTTGAACAGTAATAATCATAGTGAAATTAGTTCAAAAGTAGTTGTCGGAGTAAAGTTATTTATGCTCACCTCAGAGACCTTCTCTTATGACTGGATTCGAGTGATGGTTGTTGTCCCAAAGGAGAACCTCGTTTGAGCAGTCGCTGTCGACCAGCAGCTATTCGACGACCTACGAAGATGCATTATCAATACTGATGGCTACTGAATCAAACTCATTTTGGATGGTTCTGTAGAAGTTTCTATAAACTATCCGTTATTAAAGACTCTGAAAATATGGAAGACATGGGAATCTTCTAGAACGTCTAACATGACATTGAAATCACAAAAAAGCAGAGCGACGCTTTGATGGTGGGTGTGAAGTGCACTGATCTATGCTTACTGCAGGCCCCATCTGAGTCTTGAAGATTTTCTGTCATTTTTCTCTCTGAAGCTACGTAGAGGAGGTTGTGGAATGGAGATTGGGACAAAAAATACTTGTGGTCCATAACACGACAACTGGAGAGGGCGTGTCAATGGCTTGCTTGTGAGCATGAAAGCTACTCCTTATCTGTGAACAGCTGTCAGTACAGGTCAAGATGTCAGGTATGCGCTAAAGTTTCCATTTCACTTCAGCTCTCTTCTATAGAGACATATAGTCTTTTCGCTGCAGACGCTCAGGACGTACCAAGGGATGTGGGAAATAATGATGGTTCGTCTGGGATGAGAGACGAAAAGGAACATCTGTGTTTCGGAGTTCTTTCTTTTTTTAATCTATTGTGTTTTTTCGGATTGGCCCAAAGTCAACTCATTCTTATCCAGTCTTTGCCGCCAGCTCGTTAGAACTACTTGTGAAGAATGCCTCATGCTAAACTCAGCCATCTCATCCTCCCTGGCACGCCCCACCTTCTGCAACGAGAACGACTGTATTTTACATCTCTGCTCAAATCTGCAACAGTCCACCGCCAACGCGCTCACATTTGAGTGGCTGGACAAGCCATTTAAACAGCATGGCGCCATTGTGTGAGTTGTGCTCATCGAGATGTGGCATAAAGGTGATGAATTTTCGAGGGCCGCTTTGCTCCCGTATATCGAGCTCTCATGGTCAGGAGTTGAATTTTTGTTGTTGAAGCACCCAAGCAAACAATGAAGTCGGAATCGTGTTCTGCTGATTAGGATTGTGAATAGGTCCCCCTTGACAATGAGGACTTCGAAGTAGTTTATCGAGCTATAGAGCTATGCATAAGCATAGAGGACCAGCACCTACAGCCGCGGAAAAAAAACCCTGGAGCAAGCCCAAGTCTCACGCTTTTGGATTTTTTTACCTACAATTTTTCAACGGGACAGAATTCTGAAGATCACTGCGACGGGGCACGCCGCTGCCACTTTGACGTTGGATCCGTCCTCGAAGTTTCTAATGTTTTGGGAAAAACATTGGGTCCTTGAGGGTTGTAAAAGAAAACTAGAAGAAGAAGGAAGCGAACAGTCAGACAGGTGTGACCCTTCTCCCGATGGGCCAGGAGGGACTAACAAGGGAAGTTCGCAAAGTGATCATGGAACCTTTGAATGGAGATCTGGGTCTGTCCGAGTAGGCGTAAATGTTTTCACAATTTAGAATCGAATTGCTACCTTGCAACTCACGCGGGTTTGAGCAGTGCCTCACCCCCCAAAGTTGCTTTGAGACTGCGTAGCGGGGCGCCTGTAGCATGGAAGCTTGTCGCGCTTCTCATGCTGAAACGGATCGTGATATCGTATCAGGAGGTTAAAAACTACGCCTGAGAGAGGTTTCAGCCGAATAAAGACTATGATCAAAACTTTGAAAATTTTTACCGAAGGGGTAGTATTCAAATAGCTTCTCATTGCGTAACCACTGATCTCTTTCATAGCAATTTTATGCCATCAGAACAAAGCGGTCAGAAAATGGAAGGACGGTGGGGCATAGCGCTTGCAGTCGAATTATGAAGTGTGTTTACACAGTTTGAAGTGGAATTAACGACACTATCGAAACTACCTGTGCAGGCAAAGGCTGTGAATGTGCTTTAGTTGCACTGCAACTATCTCTGTATAGCGCCTGTCATGTAAAGTTCTTGAACTGCGCTCACCTATACAGCGCTACTTCGAGAAATTATCAAAAAATCGGGATAAGGGCTGACATAGGTGATGCAAAAATGTGGGCATTAGTGGAGACCGAAAGCAGTTGCTACCGTTTCCTAGCGAGAGACTCCACTGTGCTACACTCATTCTTATGGCTCTAGCAAGCAGAACTTCATGTGCCATGAGTGTAATGCTTGGGCATCACATCATTGTAAACTTTATGAGCTTGCCTGCGAATAACTTGCGAAATGCAGGTAGCAGTTTTGGTTTTCATGTTTGTAAATAGTATTCCAGACCCTATCGGTCTAACTATGTCTCTATTCAAAGTTCCATGGTAAGATGGCAGACCTCCCCGGTAAGACATGACAGCCAACCATGTCCCCGAACAGCGCTCCAGCTGTGAGCGTGGGCGAAACAGTACATAGGTAGAAGCATTACTGCAGGAAGCTCGAAGATGAGAGCTTCCATTTTTATGAATCAATTTTCAGGATGCTGCACACATTTCACTTCAAATTAGAATCGTGGTGGCTTCTGAATATGAATTGACCCATGCAATGCATTGCGGAGGGGGAAGGGCTGCCCATGTAAGAGTCGACGTTTTTTATCTTTTTAGACGAATCTAATACTGAATGGCTTTCACCGCAGGCATGAAAAGCTTGGCTCGAGCGGGAGAAGATCCGGAATTTGAAAGCCAGACCACGCTTGTTGTGGTAAGCAGCGGCACTTGCCACTACATTATAGTGGAGTTCGCTGCGGACGGTTGGGCGTGTCAGTGCGGCTGCGTTTGGCGCGGTGCCAAACTCGTTCTCCCAGTTGTTGAAGCGGGCAAGTGACAATACTGTATCATATCCTTCGTATTACTCGTTTTCTACCACTTTTTGTCGCATGCGCGTCAACAAGAAGGCAGAGAACGGCTTTGATGGGGTGACACACTCATACTGGCTGACACGCCCAACCGTCCGCAGCGAAGTAGACCTCCGCTTGATCAAAATGTTAGTATTATCGTGTTTTAACATTATATTCATACCTTGTGACCCTAATACTGGTGTTTTGGTATTCAAGAAGAGAGAACAGATTGTCTTAGACTGATGAAATTGCTTGCAAAATTTACTTGCACAGAACTTATTTCGAGGCTATAGCTGGCAACATACAGAGTGGAAGAGTCGGTTGCGCATCATAAAGGTCATTTAGAAGCTGTCTGACAATAAGCATATACTTATTAGTATTGGAGCAGTAAGTAGAAGCGAAGTAAGACTCACGACTGAGTCGTCAAACGAAGTAATTAGCCATCAAAGTCCATCCCCGAAAGGACCTTCGCTTTTCCTTTGTTAGCAAAATTCGGAAATGAGTTTTGTAGTGAAAACGCCGCCGTGAAGAGAAAGAGGGGAGGTTAGGTGTACGTTCGTAACATGGGGCAACATCTTAAATCAACTAAAGGTAATGCGCATACCGAAAAAATAAAGCTAACTGTATGTAGTGACGCAAACCAAACCAAAATAATGACCTACAGCATATAAGTAGTCGATTGGGTTGTGAGCAATGAGTCAAGTGAACCAGAATGCCCCGTGCGTGTGTCGAACTGACGAACGTCGAACAGCGGCACACTCAATGAACGAGGAGGGACGAACCCGGTTAAGAAGGCGCTAACGACGGCAATCGACGTGCGTTTGTGGGAAAGTAAAGCATGCTTAGGACGATAAACAATTCTACGCAGAACTGTGTAAGATAGCTGCTCATAGCCGTACATGCTTCAATAAAGAACAGAGCGTTAATAGCATAATGACAGACACGAAGCTATTCATGATAGAAGTCAGAAGCTGTTGAGTCGGATTGCTGAAGCCTAATATAATAGAAACGTATAACAAAAACTCTAATATTGTGATTTCCGGGAGGCCGACACGGGACCGTCAGGAAGATCACTCACATTAGTTTGTGTTAAAAAAATGCCTCAATTTGTTCACACTTGTTTTCAAGGTCGGTCTGAGCTGTCGCGAGAGAAAAATCTACCTCAGTCGCTAAGGTTATTTTCAGGATGCAGGATCTGTCGGAGGAAAAGGCTGAAGACAAAGTACATGATTACCTAATAGGTTAGATTCATTTCTACATATTAAAATAGTTCAGCACAAAATCTTAGGTAACAGGTCGTCTCACTTTCGCTCGATAAGCATGCGTTCATATTCCTCGGCAGCGTTTAAAAGCGCCTCCCAGCGTCCACTAGCGTTCCGAGCGTCCGGCAGCGTCAGCGACTAGGAAAGTATAGATATCAATCTAGCATCTGCCACTGTCTACAAGCATCCACCAGCGTTCACCAGCGACCGGGATCGTAGTACGAAGAGATTAGCGAGTTAGAAAGGACGCACAGCGCCGCCACTAGGTTGAGTACGATAGGTTCTAGCGCGGATGTTGCATACGTCACCCAGTTCGCAACACTTAACTCGGCGCTAGCGGGAACTGCTTAACTAGCTGCTAGTGGGAAGTAGAGCTCACCACCCATTTTGTAGTTTTGCAGTGCAACCGTCTAAGTGGAGCTAGGAAAGAAACACAGCGCGCTTAAAACGGTGGAGTGAGCTACCGCGGAACTTTTTTGGGTCGAGACCGCCCCCCCCCTCCCTCCTTCCAGCGGGCAAATACGACCCTGCTGAGGATTCCCCAATGAACGACGTGTGCTCTTGACATTTACGAGTCTGTAATTCAAACCCAGTGGTCGCCGTGGTGTACCCATTCGGTCGATTTGCTCGATACTTTATAGGTTCCCAGTATGAAGAGATCACAATCATTCCTGATCAGGGTTGTACAAGAGAATCTAGCCTGTTTAGGACGGATAGGCAGCAGGCACAACCAAGATTAAGAGATTAGGCAAGTCTTTCCAGTGATGTGTAAATCATCGTAGTCATCATGTGGAATTGACGTCAGTCCCACTCTCAAATATGTTTAACTATCCCTTGAAAGCGCTTACGAAGAGATTCTCCCCAGCTTGGCATTTCCTCGTAATCCCCTTAACATAAAAATGCCTGTAAAAAGCAAACCCTGACGCAATGACAATGCGATACGGTACCCCTAATCACCTCAGACTGTTTTGAGATATTTTCTTAGCCAGTCGTGACGACAGCAAGTGGGCAAGTGGTCAGAGTGACCTGCCGTTCCACGGTGGTTAGTCATCCTTCCCGCTCAAAACGTCGCAAGCGTGACTGGCTTCCCTAACAGCTGTTATTCGACTTAACTATTATTTTGAGGCCTGCTATAGAAATAGCTTCTCTTGAAACAGCGAATGTGGAAGCGTAGTGGAACTCCGCGGCAATACCTTAATTCACACACTAATCTTGATTCAAAGATCTTTTTCACCTCCCAATTCCCTCCACTTTCGTTAGATTAATGTTTTAGTGTGCAATTTCCACACTATGTTGAATGGTGAGATCTTGAGCCTTCAGAAATGAGGGTTAAGGTCAAATTCGGAAGGCTCAAAAATAGCAATTAACGCAAAAATGCGCGATATTTCATGCATTAGTGCTAGCCTTGGGAAAGTCCGTTCCATCCAGAGCCACTGTTTCGTAATAAACACTGCTCAACCTTTGTACCATGTCAAATCTGAACTGATCAACGTCCAGTCAATTCTTTTATAACGCATATACTCACAAAAATCAAAAGAAGTGGGAGAGCCCTTTACTTGCATTTCATAGAGTGGAATAGCGGCGAAGCGCACCAAAATAGAACGAAAAAAAAAATCGCAAAATAAGAATTAGCCCAGAAGAGCGCTTTTGAGCATGAGCAAGGAATTCCAATAGACAAAAACACTAGCGATGCGGGTGGGTTCGCAATCTCAAAGAGGTCCCAGTATCCTTGATACACCAGTAGTCGAGATTAAAGGCAATTCCCGCGACCGCACTTCATAGGTAATACAGTTCAAAAATAGAATTGCCCTGTGGTTGTTGACTTAATGAAGGGAAGGAACCACGAAAAAGCGCCCGCAATAAGACCCTCTTTATTTCAATTGATCATGATCACCGGACGAGCGTAAGGTGGTCAAGATCGATTGTGGATGGCAAAGGCGGCGAGACACTGATAAGAGACGAGAGAGGCCAGAAAACGACGAGCGAGAGAGCACAATGGCAATGTCACAACGACACGATCACCGGAGGCCGGCATGGGCCTATCGGGCGCCAATGGGCCTAAAAGCTGAGCGCGCCGCGTTTTGCTTGCTGTTTTTCAACTTTTGTAAGCAGCATAGCCTCTGACGTTGCTTGCTTGACCGTCGGGCACGGTTATGAGAACCTAGCCTTAGTTTATCGCGGAACGTGCCTTTAACCCACATCTCTTCCCCCCCCCCCCTGATGTAGAGAATATGCATGGAGAAGTTTTTCGAGTAGGGATCCCTATAATTCGTTTCAGAAGAACTTCTAGCAGATTCTGTAGACAGAAGTAAAATCATCGTCTTTAGTCGCTGATTTGTCTATATCTCATTTACAATGGTCAGCATGACGTTGTTGTTAGTCATCTCTTCCGTTCGAAATGCTGTGAGCGTGACTGGCCATCCTAACAGCTGTTATTTCGCTTGCTATACTATTTTAATGACGTTATGATTATTCCTCCTCAAGTTACTGGCACAGAATTAATGGCGTTTTTCTCTCATTCGAAAAATCAGAAGATGAATAGTTTTCTCCTTGACTTTCACACATTTGCAGATGAAGCTATACACTTCTCAAGGAGGAATGGGACTTCTCAAGGAGGATGGGAGTTTAAAGGGAACCACGTGCATTACGCAGAATCCCAATCTCTCAAATGGCAGCTGCAAAATTGCACAAAAATCTGATGACAGTGAAGAGAGAATAAGATCGTATGGACCTCCCCTTCCGGAGCGGGCTTGTACCGAGCGGGCGATTTTCCAATGATGCCTAATCCTGATCCTGGGTATTCTATCCTTCCAAAATAACCAGTGAAACCTCTTCCAAAAGTCTATTGGCTGTGATCAAGGAAGTTGCGAAGCATTAACTTTTCATGACTTCGGCTTCGCCAGCTTGAGCAATCCATCAAATGGCCGAAAAGCATATGATAAATAGAAAAACTGTAAGAGAAGTCTATTTCCGTCTGTTCGCTCTCGTGATGAATTCTATTCAAGCTCCTTGAAAAGAGTGCTTTACTTGACTATGCTTCTCACCGGTGATCGGACTGGTATAGAATAAGTTGGTTCTGGGCAGCAGCTCTTAACTGAGAGCTGATGTTCCTGGTCATTTTCGCAGCGAATAACCACGGATATTGATATTCCGTTAGAAAAAGTCGGAAATCGATTTTCCAAATGACTTCCTCAGAAATCCTCTAGCAGATGTTTGACGTTCAGGCGATGTGGGAGTGTTTTCCGCTTTCCATGACAATGTCATCATCAAAAAACCCCCTCAGCACTCCACGCACCAGCTGTTCGATTTGAACGAGTGCAGCATCGAAAATATTGAGTCATTCTGTGCACAATTCCACCGAGCACATATCTCTACCACCTTGATCGGTTCCTTAGCGTTTCTCCCCTTTCATATCGCATCCTGATTATTGCATTAATTCCTTTCAGGTCTTTCCAGGAAGTAGTGACTTCCATAAAGTACCAAACGCAATGGGCGAGAACCCCACAGTTCCTTGGGGTAACCCCAAGGGTCTGCTGAAACGGACCGGCGGCGCTTTCGCCTTAGCAAACACTCGCTATTATGACAGTCATCCAACAGATCCTGAAAACGATACCGACATCGATCTGTGCATTCAGCGACTACTCGACAATGATCCCACGCTCAAGGAGATTAACATGAACAATATGAAGGTGAGCAGAAGTAGACAAATTTTGCTACCAGACATCCAATCAGAGTACAGCCTCGTTGTGTGAACCACATATGTAGGGGGTCGTACGTTTCCGCTGGGGATAGGGGGGGTCGTATTTCGGTGGTTGTTGGGAGAGGGGGGTCGTATGTGGCCTCGAGAGAAATTTGCCGCGTTCGGAAAAATTTTCCCTGGCTGTTTATTCCGGGTTGTTGATTTTTCGTGATTTTTTTCTGTTTCATGTGCACTATTTACTCCATCCCCGCTCGACAGCAAAATTTTTGGAAAAGTGGAGAAATTTTCGGGAACTTCCGGGAGAAAATGGTAGAAAGTTGGGAAAATCTGAGAAATTTTCTCGCCTCACATCGGCTACGAATCCCCCCTCTTTCATGACGGAAAACTTTCTGGGTGATTTTCGGGTGAAAAACTAGAGGGCAAAAAACCTAGAAGGGTAGGTTGTTGGGAAGGTGGGCGGGTTGTACGCGAGACAATCCCTCGAGCGGTAGGGGGGGGGGGTGTCGAGCCCTCTGCCACATTTCACACATCACAATGCTGTACCTGCAATCGATATCTAAGTAAGGGGTTCGTCGTAACAAAAGGGGCTGCCACTACCTCACGCAATTCCCAGCTTTAAAGGAATACATATCCGCATTTTTTTCTATATGTTGTCGTTCACACATGAGAAGCTCATGTTTCCAATCTCAGGAATTAAGACAAGAGTTCATCTACGTAGTGTTGAAGAAACTCAGAACAGTTTCATTTCAGCGCACCCCAATTCCACAACTTCGACGGCTATTGGAGGCATTAGCTTATAACGAACATTGTGAACGATTATCGTTAGCCAATATGGGCCTTTACGACAATGATCTCGCAGTGAGTACTATTTACGGTTCGATTTATTTTCCATAGTATTTTGGGAGCTCATTTTTGGCCATAACCTTATAGTCACCGCTATCTATCGCCCCATCCTTGGCTCTCAACTCTTTTCAATTTTGTCTTCATCCCTTTCAATTTTATAGCTTTGTGCAAATTTCGCGAGCGAAAATCGACCCGATTCCGTTCCAGGTTATTGCTTAACTGTTTGGGGAATTTTTGACTAATTCGCGTCTTGTTGGCCTCAGAGAATGAGATTCCCTGTTCACAGGTCCCTCCACTTCATTGCTTCCACTTTATAAGATTTTGCTACTAATCCTTGTTAAGTCTCCCTCAGATCCTTACTGGCATCTCAATCCATGCAAAAACATGTATTTCTTTCACTTCTGCCTTCTGTCCGATGAGCAACCAAAATACCATTTAACTTATTACCGATGAGGTCCAAGAACCCTTACTAGCAATACACTCGTATGTTCGGCGTGAGCTCATGCTCCGCACGAACGAAAGCTTCCTGGCGATTAACTGGATTATTCGGAGGTTCCTTGCAACGATGCTAGAAAACGGCTCTAGGTAAAAATAAGTCTGTGGAGAGCTGCAGGAACTTCGAACCGTCTTCATGCCTGCCCAAGCACGATAATCCTCCTGGAGAAACCTAGCGGGGGAGGGGTTGGTCGTAAATTTGGCTAAAAGAAAATTTCTTTTGATGTGATTGCTTGTTTCACGCTATAAGGGAGGGTCCGTATTCGCGTTTGCCCCTCACCTTTACCCTATTTGTGGCGTCATATTCTATACGAACTTAGTAGTTTTATAAGGTGGATACTGAAAACCAGTAGCTTGAAAGCTGAAACCCTCCTTGCTGCACCTGCCCCTCGGCCCAAGCTCGAGCAGGCAAATTCGTCGCGAGAAACTAGAAACAATTACGCAGAACAGTAAGGAAAAAATGGAGACAATGTAGGCAAGTTGGCGGCAACTAAAAGGAAGGGGGGAAGTTGTATCCAGGATGGAAGGGGGCAAACCAGCAGGAGGGAACCCAGGAGTCGTATTCTCTGAAAATTTTACTTACAAGCGCAGGGACGTGCCCTGTTCCCAAAGAAAGCAGGCAAAGAGGTCGTAAGGTGCGATGAAGACACATTTAACGATCTTTGTTTGTTAGTTTAGAGGTAAAGAGAACAGTGAATCCTTCTGTTCTTGGCTTTTTCCTATTCCTCCTCTCGTCTTCTTCCTGCTCCTCCTCGTAAAAACAATGGAAGCTACCATTTTCCGGCTCACTCACGCTCCAGCTCCGTTTGAATCATCGATAGCTGATCGATCCCTCTGAACGAAAGCCATCTGCTCAGTACATGCTTGTCAATGTGCTCAGTACACATCTATGTGCCACATGACGTATGGGATGAGTAAGTCCAAGCAACAATCGGCACAGGGGGAGCAGTCTTATAGGACAGCGGTGCAGTTGTCCGAATCTGTTGATTATTGCACACGCATTGTCATGGCCGTGCAACATTATCAATAACAGCCTAAACAAGAAAGTGCTCGGCAGCCGCCCTTACTACGATCCAGTTCGCTATCTTCAGCAAGTTCTGGTAGCAGTTAGCAGACACTCCAATAAATAGAGGGGCTGAGGAACATGGGGACGGAACACTCTCTAGAGCCAGATAGTCAGCTCGAAACTTCTTCCTGGTTCTGTCAGCTGCGTTGAAGTTCTTGCCTTTTTCCGTTGCTCTATGCTAGGGCACAGTGTCGGCAGAGGCGTTGTTCTTATGGTTCAAACATTTCCAGGTTCTCATGCCAGTGCTCGAAATTAATAGGGGTTTGAAGAAACTCAATATCGAAACAAATTACTTGAGCGGCGACTTCTTCATCAAGTTCTTCCAAGCGGCTCTCACCAAATGAAACATTAGAGGAGGTTAGAGCAGTCAATCAGGTATGACATTTTACAAAGAGAATAAAGCCCGGCGCTCCTAAGCATTTCATGAGTGACTTCGAATACTTCAACGAGGCCCAATTTTTCAGGGAACGTCGTTCAAAAACCTCGAGGAAAAAGAGATTGTTGATGCCATCGTCGCCAACACCGGCTTAACCAAGGCACGATTAGATGTCTTTCCATCCATGTCAAACTTCCTTTAAATTGTCTTTCAGATTACCGCATAACACAACAAGTATGTTTGCAGGTATCGATCAACCTCCGACTTCAAGAAGATCGACAAGCAGTTGAAAAAGCCATGATGAGGAATGGTGATATGAGTAAGTTCTAGAAATTCATCTCATTTGGGCATCAGTCAAGGAAAGGAAATTGCTCAGAGCGACAGAGACGACGTCTAGAAGCGCTGGAGAAAAACGCGAAAGCGAATTTGCGAAGCTGACGCCAAGGAATTTGCGGAACGCTCAACAATTCAAAGCTCACGTTCGATCGTTATCCGTTCATCATTATTTACTTCTTACGCTGTTACTCTTACAGGAACTAATATTTAGTTTCCCTTTGTGCATACCTTTGATTTCTTTTCTTGTCGTTTACGTTACTCTTCGCTCCTTTCTAGTCAAAAACAAGTTTGTGATGATGTTTTCATACTCCCTCATGGCAGTACTCACATCATAGCTGTCCTCCTTTCCCTCCCCTGTTTATGTATTAAGATCCATGACGTTTGTGGTCTTTACTTTTTGCTATTGTTGTACTGAATTTGGTCAATGTTTCGCAACGGGCTCAACAATAATCATAATAAAAATGAAAATTGGCATTTTCAGTCGAAACTTAGGAAACCCCGTTAAGCGAAAGAGTCAGGGGAGCCGCTATTTGTTTCCCTCGCACTATTGTATCCTGACGGGATGGACAGTGGCAAGATTGGAAGCGTTTTCTTTCCGTCTCTACCATCATCATCTCTATCATGTGCATAGAACAGTTGGCTTTGGACGTTCTACCGTAACGAGAAAGATCAAGAAGGGAGGTCTCATTCCTGGCCCTCTGCCAAATAAGTTCGAAGAGTCTGCCGTGTTCCACTAATAATTTGTGCTGAAAAAGACCCAGTGTATGTATAGTGCTGTTGATCTTGCAGACAAATTCTTGGCTCTAGACCGGTTAAAAACAAAGCAAAACTCAGAGCATAACCGAGAGTAACGAAGAAAGAGAGAGAGTACATAGCGAATACAGAGAATGGAGAGACTTCTTCGCATCGAGAGGAACTAGACGGGGAAGAGAGAGGAAAACAGTTCCGTGCCAAGCATCCGCTGAAAAATCCTAAACGGAAGTCGGATTTGGTTCGCTGGAAAAAGGGATCATATTAGGAGAAGTCAATGGTAGTCAAAGCTGTGAGAACGTGACTGTGGGGATAGGGGTAAAAGCGACACTAGTCAAGCGGTATAGTAGGGAACCCAACCTAGTGCGAAAAATAGAATTTTAATAGAAGTAGGAAGCGTCAATCTCGCGGTTTCCAACGGTTTTTATATTTCCTTTGAAACTTATGTGTGAATGAGGTTATTTCCTTCTGAATAGCAACAATCTGCAAGTGATATTTTCCTCGATGCCGAAAAAAAACTCAATTACGGTTTTTTTAACGAACTTTCAGGAAAGATTCTGTAGTATTCAGAAAAAGGAAATAATCTACATATCCCCACTATTTTTATTGTTTTGCTCTCGGTCTAGTACTTACCGAATTTATGGTCCTTGAAAGGTTGAAAAGTCGCGTGCTCAGAAAATTCTCATGGAAAGCCGTGAGAATAAAGAGCCGTTTTTGCGACAGGTCAGCACTGTCGGATGGAAGCCGCCGAGGGAACAAATAGCGCCTGCTTTTGCAAAATGTTATTGCTGACAAAACGTACAGCATTTCGGAATGCTCTGAGGGAAGAGCCGGTGAAATAACGCGCTTCAGCGCCAACACGCGACGCAGCTGTAGCCAACCCAACTACACTACACCCATTAAGAGCATGGACTATTATTTCATCCTTTCTTCGTTTAGTAAAAACAAAAGAAAATGGGTCGACACCCTTTTCTAAAGGGGACCGTACGTGCGGGAAAATCTCCTTCAACGTGATGCTTGACGCCAAATGTTGAAAATAGAAGAACACAGGTTAGTGTCACAGAAAAAAATGCCCTAACATGAATCTTTGTCCTAAACAAGGTTAAGGGATTGTCGCGGGGAAGTGCGAGCAGTACAGATACAATTCGAAAAAAAGGGATATTAGCTACGAGTCTGGTAGAAAAGGGAGCTGTCAAAGGAGAAAGGTTTTGGGAAAGGAGAAAGCTGTAAATCACTCCTTCATTGTTCTCCATAACGACCTATGGAACACGGTGGAATCCGCCAACTGTGGTTTTCCACAGCTGACGAATTCCACCGCTCCATA